CTTCCCAGCTGTGTAAAGGAGAAAATGCTTATTTGGAACCTTGGAGTGCTCCTTGCATGTGAACCCTTAGCTACATGCTTTTTCTTTGTTCCCATGTGGCTTTATCAAAACAGTTACAGTGGTCCATGCTTGAGGTCACCAGCTGAAGTGGATGCATGGGGAAATTGGTTAAAATGCACACTGACGTATAACTGCTGTCCAGAATGAGTGGACAGAATGTTGGCTCTTGTATAACAAGCCCAAATGTGTCTGGGGAACATGTTCCAGGTCATCAGAGCGTTGAATGCTGTGAATGTGGGTGGCATTGTGGCTGCATGTATTCAAATGGTAACATTATGGAAAAGCATGAAGGCAGTACTTTGAACTTTGAAGGTATTACTGTATCCGTGGCTGCTTTGTGTGATAGTTATTGGTACAAGAGGCCACGGCTCAGACATGAACTAAAAAACACAGTTATTTTGCTCAGGACCAGTACTTTAATGTTTCCATTCTTGTGCTGCCAAATCAACATAACATCAGCAAACCAATTAGTACAAAATTAAAAACTGGTTAATGTTGTTTGTCTTGTACTAGCTGTATGTAGGCCTAACATAATCTAGCAGGTTTGCAAAGCTATTTAGACTAGCCAGTTGTGTTTGTATGGATAGCACACACTATATGGCCAAAAGTATGTGGACACGCCTCCTTTTTGAGTTCAGATGTTTCTGCAGCACACACATTGCTAACAGATGTATAAAATCAAGCACATAGCCATGCAATCTCCATAAATAAACATTTGCAGTAGAATGCATTATACTGAAGAGCTCAGTGGCTTTAAACGCGGCACATCATAGGATGCCACTTTTGCCATGATGGCAAAAATAATAATACATATTAAGTGTTATATATGTTATAAATGGTATGGGCATAATAAACAGTGATGTGCAGTAGAACTTGCTGCTGAGCTTAGTTGGCTAAACTACAGCAGCGCCATTTATGTTCACAACCAGACAAAATGGATAAAAAAGGACAGAAGGGTGGAGATGAAAGGAAAAGAGAACATGTGCTCGAACTAAATCAAGGACACTTTTTTGGTTTAGTATGGTGTTCTTGCTCAAGCAGGGAACTAAACCTTGGTCTGCTTAAAACTTGGTCACGGTACAGTACAGACAGGCCATCATGCAAAGTTCAAAGTTTTATAATGTACAAATATCAAAAGTCACATGGCCTGTCTTTAGCATTTCAATATCTCTACGTAATTTACACTCATTGAGCGCTTTATTAGGACGCCTCCTTATTTCTACACTCATTGTGCATTTTATCAGCTCCACTTACCATTTAGGTGCATTTTGTAGCTCTACAGACTACAGACTGTAGTCCATCTGTTTCTCTGCATTCTTTGTTAGCCCCCTTTTACCCTGTTCTTCGTGTTCAGGACACCCACAGGACTACCACAGAGCTGGTATTATTTGGTGGACCATTCTCAGCACTGCAGTGACTCTGTGGCATATTAGCGTGTTGTGCTGGTGCAAGTGGATCAGACACTGCAGCACTGTTGAAGTTTGGTGTAGCATTGGTGTAGCATAGTGGGTATCACTGCTGCTGACTGCCAGCATATTTTATGTTGATTTACTGCAACACCAAAAAGATTCCTTGAACAAGATGCATAGCACTACATTTGCCTACCTCTGGAACATAATTTCAACTCTACATCACTCTGGGTAAATGCATATGACAAAATGTAAAGTTAATATGAAAGGAGAAAAGTTGGTATAACTCAAAGAGTTTTACTAATTGTACTAAGGACAACTAACATTCTTATGTAGCTCAACTATACATTTCTTTTAGTGCTGACAACAGAATGTCAGTCAGTAGAAATAATAATTTACAGAAGTTGAGAAAGAAGAAAAAGCTAACAGAAATTGGCATGAAGATTTATTTTGTTATGGAAACTCAATTTTTTCGGTGTTGGCACGTTCAGCGTTGCATTCAAAAATACTTCTGATTCCTAACCAGTGCCCAAACAGCACACAATAGAACTGTCTTTAATCATGAGTGACCCTTCTTCTGGGTTTACATGCTCACATTTGTGCTTTCAGCCTGCTTAAAGTTATTACTGAGCTTCAACTTCACCTGTTCAAGTACTAAAAAAAATATGGAATAGAGAATTAATTTTTTCACTTCCAACATGATTGTAGGCCAGGGTTCAAATTGTGGCCCTGTCATATCGTTCCCTGTATACCTATATATTGTATATTTATACATTATATTTTCATCATAAATTTTCATGAACTTTCATGAGTTTCTTGAAATGTTCCTAGGTGGTCTTTTAACTTCATATCTATCAATATAAATGATTTTTACACTTGGAAGCTGATGAGAAGATACACCATGTAGTTCTAATAGTCAAAATTTTCTCATTTAAATCATTAAAATTATTTATTTATGCAGTAAAAATTGGGTCATCAGCAGGCAGGTTGGGTGAGTCCTATAAGAAGTAAAACCAAATTACAATTCATTTTGATGTACAGATGCTGACATTCATCTATAGGTCCCTAACTATTATAGTAAAAGACCTGAATCTTTATGCAAACAGCTCAAGCTTTTTTGGGTCACTTCCGAAACCTCTGTAAAGAATAACTCTCAATGTCTGAAATCTCAGAGGCTGTTCATTTTATGGAAAGGGGTGAGTCCCCAGCGCCCGATGACTTGTCTGTGGAGTTTTATGCACATTTCTGGAATAATTAAAACACTCTTGTTTGAAATGTGTAAGGAATGTATTAATAACAATGCAATGTTCCTGACCATAAAACAAGACCTTATTGTCTTTTTCCCAAAGGGATCCTAGATAGCTGGAGACCACCTACTTTATTAAATGTAGTCTACAAAATTCTGTAGTTTATGACAAAATCGAGAGAGAGAGAGAGAGAGAGAGAGAGAGAGAGAGAGAGAGAGAGAGAGAAAGAGAAAGAGAGAAATTGGCAGAGACATAATAAAGAAGAAAACACGTTGCTGGTTAGAAAATGAAGGGGCTCGTAATGGTCAGCATGGTGTCTATGGGGAAAATCCTGCCCTTCAATAAAAAGAGCCAATCGGTTGGCTGGTAAAGCTGCAAGTGGGAAAAGCTCTCCATTGCTGTGAAGATATTTGCATGCGTAACAGCCAAAACAGCCTGAAAAAAAGTGTTTTGACGTCACTCCCCAATCACACAGATAGGAGCCTGGTCTTGTACAAATGGAAATAACTACCTGGGGCATTGAGAAGATGGCTGCTGAGTGAACTTTCATGTATGGCCAAAATAAGCAACATAGGCAACTTAGGAAATAAATGTACTACATAAAAAAATCACTTATTAGAAAGCAAACCTGAGCCAGGTTGGGTAGTAAACCTCTATTCTGGACACTTTTGCACATACAGCGTTTGAGATATTTATTTATTTATTTATTTACAACCCCATTCCCAAAAAAGTTGGGATGCTGTGCAAAATGTAAATAAAAACAAAATTCAGTGATGTGCAGATCATTTAAACCCTATATTTCATTGAAAATAGTACAAAGACAACAAATCAAATGTTGAAACTGAGAAAATGTATTGTTTTTTGAAAAATATATGCCCATTTTGAATTTGATGCCAACAATATGTTCGAAAAAAGTTGGGATGGGGGCACCTCTTCTTTTAACAACACTCTATGAGCATTTCAGAACTGAGGAGGACCAGCTGCTGTAGGTTTGAAAGTGAAATGTTTTCCCATTTTTGCTTAAATGGGAAAACAGCATATGTTGCCAAAACATATAATATATATATATATATATATATATATATATATATATATATATATATATATATATGTATATATATCGTTTAGCATTAATGGTGCCTTCACAGATGTGCCAGTCACCCATGCCATGTGCACTAATGCACCCCTATACCATCATGAATACTGGCTTTTGAACTGTGCACTGATAACAATCTGAGTGGTCATTAGCCTGGAGGACACAGTGTCCATGATTTTCAAAAAGAACTTCAAATGTTGATTTGTCAGACCACATGACACTTTTCCACTTCCCCTGGATCCTGTTTATATATGGTTTCTTCTTTGCGTTTAAGAGTTGTAATTAGCATTTGTGGATGCAGCACCAAACTGTTTTCAGAGACAGTGTTTTCAGAAGTTTTTCAGAGCCCATGCAGTGATTTCCTCTACAGAATCATGTCTGTTTTCAATGCAGTGCTGCCTGAAGGCCCAAAGATCACAGCCAGTAAATACTGTTTTTTGGCCTTGTCCCTTGCAGACAGAGATTTCTCCAGATTCTCTAAATTTTTTAATGTTATTATGTACCATAGATGATGAAAAGCAAAAGTTCTTTGCTATTTTATGTTGACAGATGTTATTCTTGAATTGTTGCACTATTTGCTTGTGCAGTCTTTCACAGAGTGGTGAACTCCTCTTCATCTTTTTTTAATTACACAACTTTACCAGCCTTTTGTTGCTCCCGTCCCAACTTTTTTGGAACATGTTGCTGGCATCAAATTCAAAATGGTGCCATATTTTTCGAAAAACAATAAAATTTCAACATTTGATTTGTTGTCTTTGAAGCATTTTCAATGAAATATAGGGTTTAAATGATTTGCCAATCATTGCATTTTGTTTTTATTTACATTTTTCACAGCGTCCCAACTTTTTTGGAAATGAGGTTGTATTTATTTAAATAATTTAGTCTATAACTCTTTATTAGAAGTTCTTATGATCAAGCTCAAACACAATATTACATGACAAATCTATAGAGCTAGCATTCCCCATTTACAATGAATAGACATACTAGCTGGCTAAATGTATTATCAGATGTCAGTTGCGCTGGGCATCATGGTGCATGCATTAGCCTACTCGTATACATTCTGACACAATAGTATGGCCATGACTCACAAAAAGACCCAATTTCTTAACAACATGCCTCACCAGTCGGCTTCCATTAACACTGTACAGGCAGCCCTGATGTCTTCCTCTTATTCATAATGCAGCTCATCCATGGTAAACATCTTCATAAGTACTTTTCAGAACCTACGGCATGATATATTCATTATTTATAATTTAAAATCTTGCATAGGTGGTCTAATGCAAAAACAATAGACGCTAGTGAGTGAAGTAAACAAATAAATTACATTGTCATATGCATATTCATCAAAATAGTCATTCTTATTGTTCATGTAATGGAGGGATTATATTCCTTTTTCCGCTCTGAAAAAATTCCTGGTCATGCTACAGAACAGAGAACATATTTCAAATCTGTTCTGGAACACTTCACGGTTTTGTTTTTCCTGGAAAACCTTCATTTCCAGTTTATGTTTTCATTCCTCAAAACTGCAAGAGACACAATATCAGACAATCAATTGTGCAATTCCTTTCTTGTACACACATCCCTGTCTCAATCTCGTGTATTCAAGGGTCATGTGACCCTCGGACACCCACACCTGTTCAAACTAGAGATACTATTAGACACACGGTGTTCAGATCAAGCTTAGACGTCAGAGGAGCAGCATCCGACCCTCTCCATTACAGTCAAACTCCTGGTGAGAGCCGTAAGTTATCACTCTCTTCTTTTCCAGGAACACAGACGAATGCACACACTGTTCAAAGTCTTGCTGAGCTCATATCATACATAACACCCTTGTGTCCTGCAACGAGCAGTGCAATATCATTCATACCAGGTATGAACCGGTCAGAACTAGCTGCCTCTATAAAGCTATAACAGTATGCAGGTCACGGAGACTTTTTGTGCTGCCACTTTGGTATAGAAGGATTTTTTGCTATTGTCCATTTTTCAACCCAATCTTTATTTCTCGTATCTCTAACATATTACCACAGACAATGTTGTTAATGCATTTATTTGCACCTTAAAAAGAACTAAAAACCATTTGACTGAAGATAAAGTTATCCCTCAAACCGCTGGGCAGTTGTTGATTTCATCTGACTACTGATTTCCTTTGTAGCTGTTTCAAGTCTCTTGTTTCTGTTCTTTTTTAATGATAGAGTAATGCTTAAAAATATCATCTCTGAGGAGCTAGATGAAAAGCTGAAAGCATTCATAAAGGTAGCATCGTATTATACTGGAAAAAATTAAGGTTGGTTCATTCAAGAGAACGCGGGGCATTTTTCTTTAGCAAAAAGTACCTGAAACTTTTGAAACAGAAAACTGCAACTGTGCTGAAGGTTCCGGCTTTATGGCTTTTGGTACTAGATCAAGACTGATACCAACAGGACCTCTTCGTACTTGCACCTGTTCTCTTCTGTCTTTGGTATTACTTGCAACTGAAGCCGACAATAATGTAGTAAATTCTTTGCTCTTCCAGGTGAAGATAAAGCCACCAAGCACTAATGCATGACCAGTAAATGCATATAAATGAAAACTAGAATTAAGTGTTGATGTTTGGATTGCTATTTTAAGAATTATTATTATTATTATTGTTATTATTCTTATTATTTTACAGAGAGTTTGTTAAATGACACATGCTAGGAAGCTAATAATAGTGCTAACAGCATCTATGCTAGACTAAAAAAGTGTTTTTTTTCATATTTTAACACTTAACAGAGATAAATATAAGCTTTCTTTGATTCTACACTAGGCATGGATGATAGGCTGATGTAACCGGATATCATCAATGGTTGGCAACTAACCCGATGATGATGCTTAAAAAGCAATGAACAGCTAGGAAACTTAGAGAGCACTTGAGAGGACTAATTTACCATCATGTGTATTGTTTTGATACAACCTATTTAAGTTAAGCTAACTAGCAAGTAAAATAGCTAGTTAGTCGTTTTAGTTTTGTAGCGTACTACAAAACTAAAGTGGCATAAAGTAACCCAAAAGACAATTACATATTGCAGTTCATATGCTTGTCAAGCAGGTGGAAAATTAACTAGACCTAGAACTATTCTATTGGTTTCCATTTGTGATGGCTTAGTTTTTGAGTTTGCAGTGGAAAAATGTCCTGTGAATATGTTATAGATAAGCTGTCCATGATATCATGTACCATTGCATTGATAATTAGTTCCTTTACTGGAAAGGAACCATAATAATTGCTCAACCACTCGGTCAATATGATGTCACTGGCATACTTACACTGCTGAAAATATTATATTATCACCTCTTCAGCTTCCTCTCTACAACCCCATCCATCTTATCTTCAACAGCACTAGCTGAGCACCAAAGCATATGGCCACATCTTTTGTTAAAGGCCAAATACTCTTCAGGAACTAAATTGGGCAATGGACCATACTGCTTTAGTCTAAACATCACCAGTGCAGACAGCAGGGCCCTGCACACACACTCCAACACTCTTCTAGCCTCTCTGCTTACATTGAGCTTGGCTGCAGGGTTTTAGAGCAAGAGCAGATGGGTTCATTATGGATGCTGGCTGTCGGAAAGCCCAGACACCCAGGGGTCAGAGCACGCTAGGCGTGGGAATGTGTGCAATAGGCATAGGGGGATAAAGGAGAGAATACTCAGGGGGTTAAATTGGGCTGGGAAGAATCAAAGTGCAGTTCTGACACCTTTGGTTTACATGAATGGCACCACGATTCAGAGATCCAATAGCATAATTTAATAGAATTCAAAACATTTTATAATATCTATTTAGTATGATTGACCTTTCTGAATTAGTGTTTCATTTTACTACATAAATTAGCTCATTATGCCTTAACCTTTAAGAACACTTTTTAAATGTGTCACGATGTTTCTAAGTGAAGGAAACCTCAAATGTAACATCAAATAGCAAATAGAAAATAGCATCCAACTGCTTTGGATTGTAAAACTTTACTTTACTTTAAATCTGGTCAGCAGGTTAATAATGGTTCATTTTCAGAGCTCCCTTCAGCTCAAGCTCCCTTCAGAAGCCTCGGTATGTGTAATAGCTAATCAGTAGCTACTCTAAAACCCTTCAAGATGCCTTAATCTCTATTTCTCCAGCTCTGGCGCAGTCTTAATGAAAATTAAGTAGAGTTGAGAGGTCACTACATAGACTTACTAGGGTGGAACCAAAGTGTAATATTTATAAACAAATTCAACACGCTGTAAAGCTGGAACTACTAGTAAGGTGTGATGTCTGCTTGACATAGACTGAAGTCATGTCATCCTTTCATAGTCAGCACCATGCTATTATGCCCATATAGAGAACTCTGGGTCTAAAAGAAATTTCTCTGTGTGAAAAATGAATGGAGTTTTCAAAAAACTGACTCTATTGCATCCTGTGGTAACCTAAAATGTCCCAAAGCTCATATATTTTGTCCTATGAACATTTTTCTCTTTAATATCACTAAATCCTCTGAATTATGAGGTCATTAAAGAGTTGAAATATGAACACTGAACCAGCGTGCTTTGCCAGCATGGTAGCCCTACAGGCTGACCTGCACTCAGGCTCCATTGCTTAACATGAGCAGACTGAAAGTAGTGTTCACCTCTTTTAATACTGTTCTGGTCATCCTTGAAGAAGGCTGAGAAACCACAAAGTGATACGACTGCAATCGAGCGGTCCTACTGAGAATGGGCATATCATTAGGACAGCATAGTTACTCAGTGTTTTAAACACATTATTGTGTTTTTATGTTACAGAATCAAAATCAGAATCAGTTTAATATTACTACTCACCACCTGATAATTCGTCAGAACACCCCGTTACTTTTGTGTAGCTTAGTGATGTCAAAATGAAGCACAGTAGCATGTAGCAATATCAGTATTACAGCTCTTTAACCACCTAGTAATTCAAAAGATCCAGTGATATATGGGAGAAAAATGTACATTGGACAAAATGTATCAAGCTATGAACATTTTTATTTACCACAGAGTGCAATAGAGACATAACAGAGGCAAAACCTCCTTCATTTTGGCCATAGAGAATTCTAGTTTAGACCCGGAGTTCCAAATATGGGCATAACGCAAATTATGATGCAAGACTTCAGTGATCTATTATCTGACAGACATCAAGTCTGTTATTGGATGTAACATAAGTTAGCATTGCTGAAAAGTCCCCTCAAAACTACAGGCAAGCATGTGGATGTGTGTTGTGTTTGCAAAGATACTCACATTACTTGTGATATAAGTAAACATTACCGTTAGCAAAGGAAAACAGTTCCATTTGCCAATGATAGCATTTTGCTAGGTAGCTTGTTAAGCATATGTTATCATTTGTACTCTGGAAGTTAAAAGAACATGTACTAGAGGAAATTGGGGAGCGGGTTTTAGATGGGCCGCAACTTTGTTTGCAGGAGATTTTGCCACAAAACAACACAATGCCACAATTTTAAGTCAAGTCTCCAGATGTGTAGTCTTGTCACAAGATGACCTGACCCCACAAGACATATCTTTATAGTAGACCAACTACATATGTAAATATATGCACATAATTATGATGTTTATTGTTTTGTTAGAAGACTGTTGCTAAATGTAGACCTGCATTAAGCTAGCTGCAATCATATTTCCGTGATGCCAGTGCTAAAAACTCCACATAAAACTGCAGAAATTGAACTGTTGTCACAATGTCGGCACCCAAAAAAAGAAGTATAGGCTCCCTCAACTCCTAAATATCAAACTAACCCCTGAGAATAATGGCCAGGAAGGAGCGGCAGATGGGGGACAGCATGCAAACCTCCCCCTAACCCTCAATCGCACAGACCCCATCCAAACAAGAGGAGCCGTGTCTGTCCGTAAAGTCATTCTCATTTACATTCACAGACGTGATGATGTATTCTTTAGAACATCAGCTTCTCATATCCTTCTTAGAATCAAAGACAAGTGGAGTTGTCTGGCGAGGCAAAGCTGAATCGATCAAAGTGTGCGACAGTCAATAATGAGAGACTGGAAACTGGAGTCCAATCACCGAGCAGCGTCAGACAGACAGAACAGACTGATTTGATTTCAGATTGCACCCTGTCCGTTCATATCAATGAGCTCATTCCAACAGACGTTGGTTTTCCTTGAACACTCGATTGACTTCAGTGAAGAAGAGATGAATAAAAAATTGATAATGTAGTGACGGAAAAACATTTTTCAAGAGTTACTTTCTATGTTGAAATGCAATACAGAGCTATGTTGTTTGTGACTGTGGTTTCAAGGAATTTTTCCAGAAGCATTTATAATTCGGAAAAACATTCCGCTGGCATCTGCTGGTGGATAATCTGATATCTGACGTATACAGGCTGGTTTGTATGCTGTTATAGTGATGCGGTGTAATTATTTCCATATTGGAAAAGTAAAATAAAAAAGTAACTTGTAAAGGCCTTATTATGTTCTCTCTATAGTGTAGACCTTACCCAGTGGCTTATCAATGTCTACAGTATCATTCTCACACTTATAAGTGAATGTATGGCTTAATTATGTGAAAACAAGCACCACTAGTTTTATGCCAGGTGTCAAATAAAGAAATGAAAGAACTTTTTTTAGTAGTATGGAGATGGATAATGATTCATAGAAATAGACAATGAAGATGGCACTCTTCAACAAAACCTGTCAATAATACATTTCCATTTACCAACAGAACACTGTATGTCTCATATGGGTGTGGAAACAAAATTTGTTGATGAGAGTGACTGAGTGAGTGAGCGTGAGAAAACGTAAGTAAGAGGTGTGAATTCCAGAGTTTAAAAAAAGCTGTTTCTTCAGTCTTATTATAGGCGGCCTTTGCCCTCTCTGTGCCTGCTGGGTACCATCTGCTGCTGGATTAATCTGATCTCTGACGTATACAGGCAGGTTTGTATGCGGGTGAGTCACAGCTCAAGTGAGGCGACACAAACCCCCCAATCCATACTTACGTGTCTTGCGTGAGCGAAGACGAATACTGATAATTAAAAGGAAATTCCACCAATTTATCAGCATTCTGCATCATTCAGTTGTTGAGATGTAAGCGTTTGATGTGAAATGGCACATTACAGAGAAACTTAATGACTTCTTTACTGTGGTGGTGATAGAAACCTGGTGACCTTTTGATGTCTACAACACAAATACAGCTATTTTATTGGCAGTCTAAAATATGTAATGTTGATAGTCGTAAAATAGTGTTAAATGTACACAAATACGTTTTTATTTAGGCCTATTTTGACTCAGAGCACCCTGCTCTACACCATAAATAGATTTACAAAAAAAAAAACTCATGTCAAAATCATTGTAAAACAGTGGTGTCAAGCAATATTGTGCATCTTGCTTGAAACTAGGTTTTACAAGAATTAAATGTTTAAGACATCTGGTTCTTATCACCACTGCTGTAACAGTTCTGACTTTGTAAGCCTCTCTAGAATATGACATTCCCCTTCAAACCACTCTAAATGACTTTCTTTACACCTTAATATTTTAATTAAGCAGAAATTCTGAAAAATCTGTGGAATTCCCCTTAAAAGCAAGATACTACAGGCAGAAATGACAATCCATTTTTGAGATTTTTTGTTAAATTATATCTAGAACATGTCTTCTTTAAACTTTTATCATAAAACAGAAATATAATTATTTCAAGATTTAGTCATTTTCTGTCTACAGCGTGATCCATATGTTGGCAACTGTTATGAAGGCTTAGCTCCACCCATGCCATTCACAATCATCTTATATCATATATCACTGAAAAACTTGTTTTTTTGTAGAATCCTAATACAATATCCATGTGATGTCTATTTCATTCACACATATGGTGCATATTATCTGAGACCCCACTGAGTCTCAGATAACATGCAGTTACAGAAGGATTTTTTAATAAATTGCTAATAGCTGGATTTATGCTAGATTATATATTACAAAATTACCTTTCAAACTTGAAAACAGTGCATAGTGTTTTTTTTTTTGTTTGTTTGTTTTTTTTTGATTAAACAATAAAACACCGAGATTTCAATAAACTGTTCTGTAAAATCTCTAGAGAGTACCTTTACAATGGAATAAACATTTTAACTCTAACATCATCACAAAGCTATTTGCAGATCTAAACATAATAATATGCAAAACTTTCAATATAAAAAATACTTGTAAGAATGTCAGTAATCAACAATGAATGATTCACTGTGACATCTGTTGTTTTAAAAAATGACCATAGTCACCTGTAGTGCCTCATTTCAATTGACAGTGCCTATAATACAGGTGAAATTAAATGACTATGTCTTTGTTTATCTGCTTTTTGTTTTCTCTGTTCTAATTAGATTGTTTCCAAAGTCAAAAGACACAGCTGGGAGAGTTTATCTCTAAAAGGCCCAGACTGCCAAACCTTCAGGACCCTGTGAGGAAGGTGCATGCCAATGTGAGGCAACCATTGAAATGCAGAGTAGCAACCATTGTACCAGTGGATTCAAGGAATGCATGAGCTGCACTGAAGAACCTGCAGAATATCCCATTCACATTTGTATGTTTTTTGCCTATTCTAATATATCTACTGATGTCAATGGAGTGCAGGTAAATCCCTCTCCAACTGATATATGATATCAGCTCACTTACCAAAACTACCTCCTCAAAACTAATACCTCTTTAACATTGCTAGATTCCTCCTGATGCTCACCAGTAAAGATGCTGAAATGCTTTGTCTTCATCAGTTCCCACCTTGACTACTGTAATGCCCTTTTGACTGGCATCGCAGATGAACTCCACACTTGCATAAAACATATTCAAGTAGTCTTAATGCAAATGTTCTGCCCACATTGCGCTCATTCTCTACAAATTGCATCTCACATCTATCTCAACACAGTTCAAAACCCACCTCAGTGCTCTCTCTCTAAATGGTGTGGTTGCAAGTTTTCACTTCCACCAAGCAGGAACATGCCTCATATAACTAATCAGTTGTTTAAAGACTGAGTCTAACTGATTAAACAAGGGCAATTAGATGTGCTTTTGCTTGACTGGAATGAAAAACTGCAGGCACACAGGCCCTGTATGGATAAGATTGGTGACTCCTGTTCTAAAGTGTCATGCTAATGTGTCTGGTGTTTCTCCCTGGTGTTTCCACCCATTCATTTCTGTATTGCTTTTGTCTGTTTGTTTTGTTTGTAATTTATTTTGTCACTTTATCCTATGGTTCTGATGTTTTTGCTCCATTTTTACTCTTCATTTTTGTTTTGCTCATTTTGTTCATTGATTCTGTAAAGAGTTTGAGAAAGTCTCTATACTTTATTATTACATATTTAAGCAGTATTATTAATTTATATCCACTTAGTGCACTATAGGTACAGTGCTATATAATCCCTGATAAAACACCTTATTCAAGTAATTACGAAGACATTCAGGAGTTGATTTGACCACATTAGCGGATGGTAATCACTAAATCCTGCAGTGCATTGACCCTCTGGGAAATGAACTCGATGCTCCTCATTGAACAACAGGTCGAAAAGGCATTTATCACTCTCTATGGCCACCATCTCTAGCTTTCCAGCATAAAGCATACAAGACTGTCAGCATTAAAGTAAAATCGTTTGTTATATATTTATGTTTATGTTTTATTCGTAAAACAATTATGTTTTATGTCTAAGAGGCTGTTTCTTAGCCATGTCTGCTACCATTTAGTCTGACACATTAGATCCACAGGTGGTCCATCTGTTAAGCATTTAAAGATTTTGAAGCATATCATTGTAGTATGAGAAGAGACTGTGTGGCTGCAGGAGGAGACAGAACTCTGAGAACTTGGACTGGAGTTCTAAGCAGCTTCTTGAGCTAGAAGGCTGGACCCCCCCATTGATGAACTGAGAATAGACTGAGAGAGAACTCTGGAATGGGGGGTAAGGTGGGGTGGAGGTTGTGATGGGACAGGGAAGATTGTGAGGGAAAATTAGAGGACATTAGATTTGAAGGTAGTAGACCTTCAGGCATGGTCTTCCTCTCAAGCTTTAGTAATTTCTTAAGCCAATCTAACCAGTAGGAAACTGTAACTATTTGAGCTAGGCCTTTAATTTAGGCCATAAATGGCCAAAAGACCCTGTGATATTCTTGTAGTATGTTAGGGCTAAGCTAAGGCTGATTCACATTAAAGGCCAAACTAAATTAAACACAAACATTTGAAGCTTGTATAGAATGTATTAAGCCTTCTCTTCACTGCATCTAACTATCAAATCAAACTAATTATCAGGCATGCAAGGAACACAACAAACTATGCAGTGTTGTCTCTTTTAAAACCTTGCTTGGGAAGCGTGTTCTTTATCTCAAAATGCTCTGACAATCCTGTTCACAGAGCTCCTGCTGTCAGCTCTTTTCTTTGGCACTGGTAGAGACTGTTCGTCAGAGGCCTAAGAACTGAATGAAAACACCTGCTTTATTGGTTATGTAACTGAGTAACCCTCGCTGAGCTTCTGCGCATCACAGCTTAAACATTATACTGTGCTTTGTCAGCATGGAAGATGCATAACACGCTTACTTCCTGCGCTGTCCAATCATTAGCAAAGGAGGGCCGGAACACAAGGCAAGTATTAATTCCTGTATGCTGTGGGAACTGTTTTGAAGCTAGTTAAAATCATGTTCTCTTTTCAAAGCGGATGCTGTGCAGTCAAATGGAACTGGGAACATTTTGCAAGAGTAAACACCTCACAGCATTTCCGCAGGGCAAAATCCAAGCAAGTGTGAGCTCTGATTACATGCCTGCCTCCTTACATCGATGAAAAAGTAGGATCCACCTGCATATGTGGTTGTAGTTCAATACTGTATAGCACAGTGGTCTCATTTGAAAGCAGCTTGTTCTGCTGCCATTGTGGGTTAACAAAGCCCACCTTTTGTTTTCGATGTGCTGCCTACACCATCCCACGAGGCCGCTCTCCAGTGCTGTCGCCCCACTGTTTAATCACACGCGTCGCATTCCCGCAGCCACGACCATGCACTTGAGCTGAGGCCCTACTTCACGATGCTAATGGCAACAAAACAAAACAATGGTGCACATATGTCCTCTAAGCAGCCAGCATTTAACATTAGCATTTCAATTCAATTCAAAGTGGATCAGCAGGTCAGCTCAAGCATTGCTAACACCCAGTCTATCCTGACTGATCTTCTAAACTCATAACTTTCCTCCACTGAAGCAACGCTAGCTATGTTTCTATTCAATTTCTGTGCAAATTGCAAAAGTAAAATGTAAAAAAAAAAGAAACTCATTTTTGGCAATATACAAATGCTTTACATAATGATATAAAGTTCTGCAAAAAAACTGTTGTCCTACTAATGGCAGTGTACTAATTTGACATACTATTTTGTATGATAGGCGCAACTAGTATGTAGCCTAAAGTTTTCTATCCTAAGAACTTTTGAGATGTTATTTGAAGGGAATCTTTGATGAAGTAGAAGTACATCACGTTTTCAGATAGCTGGTAAGTAGGCTATTTGCTCTATTTTATTTTATTTTGTTAATCACTGATCTGATGGCAGCCGTCTGTTGCTTGGCGATTTAGCAGGCGCTGTCATTAGACATCTGGAGTCTGACTTTCGATATTAAGTCAATTAAATCTCTAATGCTTGGATGTGATTCACATAACTAGCTGTCTGTAATTAAATGTTAATGGAACAATAGTTGTCCCTGTTTATGGAAGCAACTTACAGCCGTATTTCAGTGCGTAAATATTAGTTCACCTTATCCTCTGCAAACAAAACCATATTGTTGATATTGGCGGTCACCAAAATGACAGGACCAATATTGCGTGACCTCCAATGATACTCTTATGCTTGTCAGTCAGGGAAAGAAATAGTCTATGAAATACAGTTTGAAGAGCCTTTAACAGATGAATACCTTGAGAATCATTTTGGTGAGTAAATGATTGGCTAGGTCAACCTGGTTAAAATTGCCTGTTTTTCTTTCAGGAAATGCAACGATGATCTACAGCATTGCAAAGACCTTCATGTACAACAGTAGCCCCAAACATCCACTTTCATTACAGCTTAGATACTTTTTAGTAGCAATCATTAACAGGTGATAGCTTATTAGCCGTCACTAGCTCAGCGTACACATTGCACAACTGTGTCAGCAGACAGTACCCCAAAAGCGCTGATTCAGACTTCCAGAACATTCATTAATTTCAGCTGCAGTGGCTACTGTGTACTGTGTTCCTGAACACTATATACATAAACAATATCTCAGGTGCTGCATAATAGCATGAAAACCAAACACAGTGGCTAACTGATGTGCTGGTAGCAACCCTCACGCTGCTTATTTAACCTTCACGCAGAGAGATGCACGCCATAACAATCAGTGTTCATTCACCCAGACCAAACCTCCAATCAGTTGCAATTGTCCTGAACAGAAAACTTCCCATGAATATACACTGTAGTTCCACGTCATTCTTACCAATAGAATGCGCAAAGCGTCTGTAGGCGTAAAGCTTTGTGACGGCTTGTTTGTCTTGAGCCACCTGTAATGTGCTTGAGGATTGCTGACACGATTTGCGTCGGCACCACAACAACATTGTAGAAGTCAAAACATGCCTAAGAAGTTCTCACGCATTGTAGCTACATGCTAATTCAAGTGATGCCTTTGTCACATCATTTGGTACTCTATTGAAGTGGAACTCCACTGATTTTCACCAACATTTCTTCAGAATTAAATGTTTAAGATGTAAACAAAGTCAGTCAGAGTGGTTTGAGGTAAAATGCTCTATTCTAGAGAAACGTATCGAGTCAGCTGGTGATGGGAACCACATGGCCGAAGGCTTTAATGCAGGCATGTCAATCTGGGGAACTTCCAGGCCAAAGGGCAGTGGATATTACCGTTTACCCTCACCCAACGCTCTGAATTCAGTTCTTGAAGGCCTTGCTAATTAGTTGATGAGCCTGAAAAAGCTACCTCAGAGAAAGTTAAAACACATTACGTCATATCTGAAGCATGGTTTTACAGTAGTACAGTAGAGGAGGTTTGTTTTGGATAGTGCTATATAAACTGCTCTGCACTATTCATTGTCTATTAAAGCTCCACCCAAATGCACTAAACTGGCTTAATCTAGCCCATCGGACTAGCATAATATAAAGCTAGAAGCTATTAGCATTCCTTCACTATTAACAACATTAATTGTTTTGTTATTCATGAAACTATATCATCTGTGCCAAATTAAACAAGACTGGAAATAGAACATCTTTCTCTGATCTCTGAGGCCCATGCACAACACTTCCTGCTTTACTGTAGTGGCAAACAAAATGAAGCAGAGCCACAACTGGGTCACCCTGCAGGTTACTTTTGTGAGTGAGTGCACAGCCAGAACATAAACTCTGCTTGGGGTTTGAATGTGGTGGTCAAGTTAGGGGGTCTTACATTTGTAAGGTAAGAACGCTTATCAGGGTGTGAGAAATCCATTGGCAGCTGTCTGTTGCTAGGCAGCTTAGCAGGTGCTGTCATTAGGCATGTGGAGTTTTCTTTGTATGGCTGTATAAGTCTGACTTTGGAGTACTAAATCGATTGAATCTCTAATACTTGGATGTGATTCACATATCTAGCTGTCTGTAATTAAATGTTAATGGAACAACAGTCGTCCCTGTTTATGGAAGCAACTTACTGCCGTATTTCAGTGAGTAAATATTAGTTCACTTTATCCTCTGCAAGCAAAACCATATTGTTGATATTGTCGGTCACCAAAATGACACCACCTATATTGTATGACCTCCAAAGATACTCTTGTGCATACATGTTTCCAGAACGAGAAGTCAGTGAGTTTATTGTTGGTTGGCCTGCTTATTAGTCTGGGAAAATAAAAAGCCTATGAAATAAAGGTTTAAGACAGTGAATCCCTCAAAAAAGAAGCCTTCAACCATGCACAATACTTCCTGCTGTACTGTAGTGGCAAACGAAATGAAGCAGAGCCACAACTGGGTCACCCTGCAGGTTACTTTTGTGAAAGTGTGCGAAGCAAGAACATAAACTCTGCTTGGAGTTTGGATGTGATGCTGAAGCCAAGTTAGGGGGTCTTACATTTGTAAAGGTAAGAGTGCTTGTTGGGGTTGGAGAAATCTACTGGTGACCCACTTTTAAACTTTTTTTGTGAGTTTTACTGAAAAACGTATAGATACAGATATTAGATTTGGGTCAAACATCAAAGTAGATTTTTTTGGTTTATTACAATCATATGCAAAAGTTGGAATATATCTGGTCAAATGTAATGTTTTCTTGATTTTGTGAAAGTGAAAATAAGTTAATACAACCTCTACGTGGAACAAGTGTAAATATGTCTATGTCTCTGCAATTTTTAGTGCACAATTTCTATTTATTTGCTTTAGAGTTTAATATCTTGAAAAAAAAGTAAAACATAAAATATCACTGCTGACAGAACAAAAACTTCTATGTCCAAAAGAGATTTTATTCTAAAATCATTTTGGACCATTTCTATTGGCCCTTTCACAATTCATTTTTGGTGCAATGTGGATGGTAGCTGGCAGTATCAAATGATGTAAAAATAAAATAAATAAAAACAACCAAAAATGCAAAATACAAGGTTTTGTTCCAACAGCGACGACATAAAATGTGACATAACTTTTGCATGGGCCACACTTTATGTTTTTCCCAGTATGTTAACTTCAGCAAATAAATAGTAATTGTGCATTAAAATGCATAGATGGATAGAGGATATCTGCGAATTCCTTTGATTAGAACACTATCAAAAATTATTTATTCATGAAATTGGGTCAGAGGATAGCTGCCTGATCTGTAGCCTAGATCTGAATGGTGACCTCAATTGACTATGATAACTGACATAACTATGACAGATGACATAGGACACTAATGATGCAATAATCAAAGAAGCTGAGGCTGAAATCACTACAGAATGGTGTCACTGCACTATCTTACCCAAACAGAGCTGATATAGAAAGTAAAGAGCATCTGTGACATATGTGAAGCTAAATTAAGGAGGTGGTCCCAGTCCCCTCAAATACTGAACAGCTCGTATGCCCTTCATTGATTTCCCTGTTGGAGATAGTAAAGAACTGTCATGGGGAAAAGCGTGCACTTCCATCAAGACTGATGGATGGTGGTGCAAACTTCATTGCTCCATAGCACATCACTGGAACTGACCTATATATCCTGTGTCATTCCACATATAGGCTATTAGCAAGTGTTTGCACAGGGCACTACAGGGCACTGATCCATGAGCACCATGTGTTTCATCAAGGACATGACACTGTACCTGGTTGCTAGGCTTTGCTTATATCTGCTGATCTAGCCTACCTTCACCACAAATCTAATCACCAAAAGATCAAAGGATTACTGTAAATCATTTAATTAATTTAACTGAAAACCTATTTACAGGGTGTAAAGCATTCATATTCATCTCATTTGAGGTCTGATTTGGTCAGATTTTGTTTCTTGTTGTTTAAATATTTTCATATGACAAGTAATATATCGTAATAACTGTTACTTTTATTTGTAGAAGTTCATAAACCAACACCGAGCAGAGTTGCTCCCACGTTAACCGGGGCATACTGATTCAGTGGTTAAATCTCAAATGGCTCCCTACTCCCTATATAGTGCACTATGTAAGTTAGGAAATTTTGGCTTCTACACCCAAATAGTACACTATATATCCAGTAGAGAATTGTGCACATAAGCGTAAATCCAAAATGGCACGTTGTTTGATATATTATGCACTGTTTGGGTTTAAAGAGTTGTAATTTCAAGATCTGAGTAGTGCACTACGTAGGGAGTAGGGAGCCATTTGAGATCCAGCCACAGATTTCGTCTCGGATCCACAACTGCCTTTGATCGCCATATAGTGAAACATGCAGCAGTAATAATGTATACGCTGAGCAAAACTAAAAGACATGAACGAAAATACAAAGACACTTAATAAAACGAAACCAAAGCGAATCTACCTGCCTAGCTAACCAGATAAAGAAATAAATAAACGAACCGTCTCTCAAAAACACGCCTACTAATGACGTTAAACTAAAGCGACGCTGGAAAAATGATGGCGGCGGTTCAAACGAAGCAAGATCTTGAGGAGGATTATTCGTTACTGCCGGTGGTTCACGACATCATTAAGTGGTATGCTCTATACTCTGACCATTGAAGTTAACACATTTTACTCACTTTATGGTCGCTCATACGTTTAAATCGCTTTCAGGGCGGAGAACTTGATAGCTTGTTAGCTAGCTTGCTAGCTTTAGCACAACAAGGCTTACGTTGTTGTTGTTGAATGTGATGAATGAGCAGTTAGCAGCAGCTAATGCTGCGTTCATTTCGTGTCGGAAATGCCGTATTTACGAGATGGAGGCACATGAGCGCCACTACAGTGTCGTATTTACAAATAGGAAACTCGGATTTTTCAATGAGCCCCTGGTTTCCGAGTTAGGGGCGTGTCAACAAAAAAGTTGTGATAATCGCTGATAAACTGGCTGTATTTCAGTTATTCATTAGCAACAACATTAACACTGCAGGCTAAAACCGTCCATACATGGAAATACAGATAAGCACGTTATGTGATATAGCTACATGCATAAAAACATTACTCTTCTCATAAGCATCTTCTGCTCTTCACTTTGTTGCAGTAACGCAAAATACACAGACTCTAAAGACTTCAATGACAGACAAAAGTAAACCCAAAACATTATTTCCAGTGTATCTATCTTATTTCCAACCAAAACCACTTGAACACAAATCAAGTCGTACTTAAGACCTCCGAAGCCATAAGTAGGAACTTGCGAGGAGGACTTGAAGGCAGCATTACTGACGGTAAATCTCTGGAGAAAATAGGAGAATAGACATTGCATTCCAGTTGTCGTCCACTACTGCATTTAATATGTTATGACTGAGTAAATGCTACACACTCAAAAAGATGTGTTTTAAGAGTTCTTTAGTAAAGACACTGGTTTTATTTAAAACCACGACATATATATACATAAAACCATTTCATGTTTAAATGTTTATTTGCACTGTGAAATAGTTCTTAAGATTGAACTCAAAAGCCTTGGCATGATAAAAATAGCAGAACCCCTTTTGGCGCTGTTTAGAACCATTTTTAAAAAGTAATCTCACCATGCAAACAAACATTCAAGCATGAAATGGTTTTATATAGAATAGGAATAGAACCATTGCCTTTACTAAAGAACCTTTGAAGAACAATCTTGTTTAAGTGCGTACATGTCAAACGTGCATAAGCAGCTGTTGCTATTAATTTATTTGCATCCTTATAAAGCTGTATGTGTGTCTGGAATGTTTTTCAGCATAGACAAAGACAGTGCTGATGTGCACCAAGAGCTGATCAAACTCAAATCTAAGATTCAGGAAGCCCGAGACCAAATCAGCTCCATGCCTGGGATTGACGTGAGTCCAGCGGTGCAGCAGCAGCAGCTTCTGACGCTACGAGAGCAAGTGCGGACTAAGAAACAGCTGCTGAAAAAGTACAAGAGCCTCTGCATGTTTGAAGTGCCAAAAGCTTCATAAGGACAAACATTTTTTTCTGAGGCCTAAGGACACTTCCTGAGAGGAATGTAACATGGAGAACGAAGCTAATGTGGGAATACCATGCTTTATCTGGAACAGTTAGAGACTTACTGATATGTTTTATAATTTGGGCCGTTCAAATGGACGGAATCTGCCGAAGGTGCCTCAAAAGCTATTCTGCCAGTGATTTTTCTAGCCTATATCCTTAAAGGGGAACTCCACTGAATTTTCAAAAATTTAGCATAATTAAATGGTTAAGATGTAAACAAAGACATTCAGAGTGGATTGATTGGAAATGCTCCATTCTAGAGAAGCTTACAGAGTCAGAATTGTTCTCAGTGGTGGTGATAAGAACCAGATGTCTAAGGCCTCTGAAAGCTCCCTCACAGAAAGTTATTACATGATATGGTTTGATATAAGCTGCCTGATGTCTGACACATTGTTTTATGTTAGTATTGTGATAAGGTTTAGGTTTAAATTGTATTTTAATCCCGTCATGGCGGAGGGTTACCTGCAGAGCATTGTAAGCAAAATAGTCCCCAAGGAAATCTTATTTTTTCAGATTTATGATTATTTTACAATTATAAACATAAAAAAATATATAGAAGACAAGTATAGGTTGACTGGTGGTGTTTTAGGTATTAAATAAAATGACTGTTTGTATTGTACACATTGTAGAATCCATGTATAGAACCATGACAACTTGGAGAACCCTTAGAATGTGTAAATGGCTCTTTGCATGGTTGAATGATTTTTCTCTGTTTTGTTTTGGTTCTTTTTTTTACTTTTAAGGGGTTTTATATAACAACCAAAAAGGGTTACACTATTACAAGTCAAAAATATTTTTGGTACTATATAACTCTTTTGCTAAGACTTTATGTATTCACTGTTTCAATGTTTTTGTATTTTAATTTGTAATTATGGATTATTTTTTATTGTTTTTTAATGGGTTTCTGCATTCTTTTTTTTAATAAACTGGATTTCAGTTTAGCTGGAATTTGAATAGAATGGTTATTTAATCACTACACAGTTGAAGAAGATGGTTTCCAGTTTTGGTTCTTTAGTTAAGAAGATGGTTCTATAGAACTATGAACAGGGTTCTGTATAGCACCAAAAAAGCTTTTTCCACTTATAAGCTTGCCTTTGTAACAATAGAAGAACCTTTTTCAAAAAAGGTCAATGCAGATGCATCTACAGCACATTCTCCATCAATCTGAAGAACCATTTAATGATGCAAGAACCCTTTAATCATGCAAAGGGTTCTTTAAGTGTTCACAGTTCAATACAGAACTATTTTCTTCACCAAAGAACTATTAAAGAACCACTATTTTAAGAGTGTAGGTACACCCTTAAATAGAGGTTCTTTGAGCGTTCTTTAGTAGAGGCAATAGTCACATAAAGAACCAAGAACTCAAAAAACCATTTGGGGAAAAAATGAGCCCTTTTGCTGAGTGTGATGAATGATTAGGTCTAATTCAACAAAAGAAGAGATGAAGCAGTGCTTATTTTCAAAATTTTATTTTCTATTTTTTAAATAAAAGTAAACGCAGACATAGAAGAATAAATATACATTCGTATCTTTTGTTCACAATGCCACAGACGTTCAAGTTCTATTAGAAAATAGGCAATAACAAAATGTAAACAAGTGCTCAAGCGTCACATCCAACTGTCGGGTGGGAGCAGTCCAGTCTCCTCTCTGGAGGTGGTCTGTTAATCTATTCTTTTCTTTTTTACAGCAAAACTCGTCGCCACATCGCGACACAGTCCGAGCTCGAGTCCCAGAGTCTCTCTTGCTTTCTCGCTCATGAGGCCGAGTCGCCCTCAGCAGTGGACCCAGCGAAGGCCACGCGTCGTTGGCTGCCTGTGAGGACTTGCAGGAAAGTCCGCCGTCCCCGCGTACAGGGGCGCAAAACACAGCCGCCGTGTGGGCTGCTCGAGCGCAGGGTTCCCTTCTCCTCGGTGCGAGGAAGGTGTGTGTAAGTGTGTACGTGTGTGTGAGAGAGAGATGGAGGAACTGCTTCACTCAGCAAATCACGCAGCGGTCTTTGGCTGCCTGGTTGCCGCCCACCGCTTTCTCTTTAATGTACATGAGGTCGCTGTGCACGCTCGGCCTGCGCGCGAACGGCGCCACGATGCCGTACGCGTCCCCGCCCTCCCTGAACTTCTTCTGGCGGAGGGACTTGCGGCGGAGGACGTCGCCGTACTGCAGCGACACTTTGCGGTGGCGGTCCGGGCTCATCTCGTCGGGCAGTTTGGCCATGGCGAAGAGCGCGTGGAACATGAGGTCCACGTTGGTGTTGCGCTTGGCCGACACCTCGAAGTAGGCGCACGGCTCGCTGCCCGCCACCAGCTGCTCGATCTCCTCGTCCGTCACCTCGCGGCACAGGTCGCGGTCGCACTTGTTGCCGCAGATGACCAGCGGCACGTCCACGTTCTCTTTGGTCTTGTTCTTCAGGCACGACTTGGTCTCGAAGATCTGCCTTTTGAGCCGCTGCACCTCCTGGAAGGAGTCGCGGTTGTCCAGGCTGAAGACCAGGATGAACACGTCTCCTGAGGAGGGGAGGACAAAGTTAATGTCATGCGCTTCTTCAAAAACAGTATCATATATCATGCATCAGGCTTCTCGTGCAGCTGCTGCAAGTTTGCTCGCATCAAGAACCCACCTGTCAAAATGGAGAGTCTCCTCATCGCTGGGAAGGGGTGATTTCCAGAGGTGTCTAGAATGTCCAGCTGATAAACGTCCCCACGGATGCTGTAGAATTTCCTGTGAAAGTCCTCGATGGTCGGCGTGTACTGGTCATCGAAGCGCTCGTTCAGGAACCGGGAAACGATCGCCGTCTTGCCAACTTTGGTGGAGCCCAGGATGACCATCCTGTGGCAGTTCTTGGCCGGGATATCGAACTCGTTCTCTGACGGTGACATTTTCTTAATCATGGTTGCGGATGGTCCTGCGTGGAGGACAGACACGTGCGCGATGAAAATCCACAGGTAGGAGTGTGTACCCTTTGAGTGTGTGAGGGTCTCTTGTAGATGGAGCTCCGATCGCTTTTCTGAGAGCCTCGGTGAAGCCGATGCGCTTTTATAGCGGAGTCCGTCCAGTCCTCCACAGCGCGTCATCCGTTACGCGATTGCAGGCGTTATTTATTATTTTCCCCACCCGTTTTCCGTCAGAGCCCCTCTGACTGCGAGTTTGAACTGCTAACCGGCGCGGAGCCAGTTCTAGTGTAGGGGCGGACGTTGCCTGAATACGAGTGGGGAACAAAATCCAGCGCCTATCGGGTTTGGCTCTGTGCGTCAGCCTTGTTCCATTCGGCTGGTGTGCGTGCAGGTCTGACACCTAAAAAGCAATGTTTTGAGCCAAGGGTCAGTTAGATGTTATTAGGCTTAATACAGCGATGTACAGTGAAGCAGAACAGGTTGAAATGTTCATTGCTGTGTCCCAAACCACATGCTAGCACATTAGTGTGCAAAAATAGTGCAGTACCATTAGGTAACGTATGGAAGTGTGTGGTTTGGGACGCACATTTGTTTCAGTTTTAAACGCCAAAGGGTGCATAAGCGTCCCTTATAGAGTCTTTGCAGTGACCTGCTTGAAGGTGAAGTCCACCGACTTTTCAGTGTTTTTTTATTTATTTATTTTTTTGTTGTTGCTTTTCAGAATTCCGTCGTTGCGATGTAAACAAAGTCATTCAAAGTGTGAATTTTGAAGAAAAAATTCAATGACGTAAAATGGCACATTGTAGAGAGAGATTTCTTTACAGTGGCGGTGATAGGAACCAGGCGTCACCATGTACGAAACACAAATATAGCCATTTTATTTGCTATCCAAAACCACCAGTGAACCTACACGTGTCTTCTAAGTTTACCCAAATAATGTTGACGACGGTAAAGCAGTGGAAAATCTGAGAAAAAAAATGTTTTCTTTGGGGACTATTTTGCCTTTCAACGCTGTGCATGTACCCCATCCACCATGAATGGATTAAAATGGATTAACAAGACGTTTTAGGCCAAATAAATTGTCACATACTATCGTAAACAATGTCTCAGGCATCAAGCAGCATATTCATAACCATTTTGTTTAATAGCTTTCTGTGAAGGACGACTGGTTCGTATCAGCACCATTGTGAAAAATTCTGACTCTGTAATTTTTTATAGAATTTCACATTAAACTACTCTAAAGGACTTTGTTTACATCTTAATCAATTATGTAGAAATATAGAAACATTGGTGGAGTTCCCCTTTAAGGTGTCAGTCAACTGTGCATAGATTACCAAAGCAATACATTGAAACAGGCTACAATGCATGTAATAACACCTGCACACAAAACCCCTAATTACGTACAGATCCTTTTTAGACTGAGCCAAACATCTGCGCTCTGTCTCTGTACAGATTCAGCCTGAACTGATGCTGATGAGCAGGTTCAGCTGCTGGGCAGCATTACGTGGGAAAGTAATACAGTACCTTTTCCGCCCGCTAGAGGGCGCATCGCTTCAAACACTCAGCAAATGTACGGTTGAGCTGGCAAAGCATTGACACCAGGGTGTTGCAGATGTATTTGAACCCCATGTTGATGTTCACATTGGATTCAAAGTATAGAAAAACATACTGTGTGTGAATATATAGTGCATGTATCAAATATTTTAGAAAATATAAATGACCAAAATGTCTTATTTAATCTGGTCTAATGTACTGCCCTCATTAGTGTTTGAGATACATTTTGGAATGAAACAATGCATTTTAACAATGTATTTGAAATGTTGCCCAGATATCCAAGTATTTATTTTCCATATTTTCTTCCAAAACCTTCAACTGAAACATCTTTTGGTTATGTTATAATGCACCAGCAGGTGGGGAAAAATAACATCAAACAATAATGTCATGTTTCCCCTCCCCCTCCCACCACCCCCATCTTTTACCAAGGAAAAGCACTCAGCTAGATCAGAGATCTCCTTGATACTCTCTTTCACTTGGAATGGTTCAGAAGGAAAATGCATTATGATTTCCTGTTTATATTGACTTAAAAATGTTAACATTGCAGCATAGAATTCAGTCTTTAATATAATTACTAGTTTAATAAACATTGTCCTATAGGTGTAGATAGAAGTATAGGTAAGGTATTAATAAGTTAAACCTTTGCAGCTCTCGACTTACGTTCACAAGGAGGACAAATCAAAGCCCCAACATCTGGCAGAATGAGCATCGATTTCTTGTGTGTGAGCCACAGAAGCCTAGAGGAGGATCTAAAGATAGAGGAGGGCCTCGGTGACTCAGCCAATTAAATACTGACTTCTCATTCAGGCTGGAAGGCTCGAAACATCCAAGAAACAAAAGAACAGACATCAGCTTGGACAATGAGTCTCGATAATGTTTGAGTCGTCCGCGTTCTGCAAAGTTAGAGTTTACTTGCTTTGTTAGTCTGCTTTATTTCCTTTGAGGTCCTTCAGCAATCTTGCACACATATGACTGACACCACAATATGGCTGAAAGTATGTGGACACCTGAGCATCACACCTGTATGAGCTTGTTGGACATCACACTTCAAAACCATGGCCAATAATACGGAGCTAACCCACCACACCCTACCCCCATTTGCAGTTATTGCTTTTAAACCTTTATTTCACCAGGGTAACCACACTAGATTAATAATCTCTTTCACAAGTGAGCCCTGGCCAAGAAGGCCAAAAAAAACACCACAACCAGTGAAATCAAATCAGAGTCAAAATCAAATTAAAAACAAGAATAAACAGAATGATACAATTCTTTAACAGTTATCTTAAAATCAGTCAAAGAGAGAAACTGCTGCACACAGATGGAGCACTGTAACTAAAGCTGCCTTGCCATATTCAGACCATACTATTGGAACGTCCAACTGAATATAACTATTAGAGCATGTACCGATTTGTTGATAAGAATGCAGACAAATATGAAGGAAGCTGACCAATAATCGTTCTATAGAAAAAAAATATCCAATGAATTTGTCTTCACACTGAAAGTGGAGGCCAACCAATCATTTCATAAAATTCACAGTGATGAGTTGAGTATCTAGCATCTGTTATACATTTTAATACAGAGTCCAGAGTCCAGTGATGGCAATGTTGTCTTTGAAGTATGCCTATAAAAAATATGACAATAATCTAAAATAAGTAAAAAGGTAGCTTCCACTATTTTTTTTTTCGTGCCTGTTGAGTCAAGCTAAAATTGTTCCTAAAATAAAATTCCAACTATATATTTCTATATATTTCCGGTCTTCTGGAAAGGCTTTCTACAAGATTTTGAAGTGTTTCTGTGGGAATCAATTTGTGAGATCAGGTGCTGAGGTTGGAGGAGAAGGCCTGGCTCACAGTTGATGTTTCAATTCATCATAAAAGTGTTCAGTGGGGTTGAGGTCAGGGCTCTGTGCAGTCCACTGGAGTTTCTCCACACCAGTCTCATCAAACCATGTCTTTATGGCTTGCTTTTTGCTTATCTAGGCAGGCACAAAAGCATATAGCTGTTTAAAATGTCTTTGCTGTAGCATGAACATTACCCTTTACTGGAACTGAGGGGCCGAGTCCAAATCCTGAAAAGTAGCCCCAGATCATTGTCCCTCCTCCACCAAACTTTACTTTTGGCACTATGCATCTGGTAGGTAGCGTCCTCCAGCCCTCTGCCAAACCCAGATTTGTCCATCAGACTGCCGGACAATGTGATTTATCACTTGAGAGGACACATTTCCACTGCTCCAGAGTCCAGTGACAGCATGCTTTACACCACTCCAACGGACACTTAGTATTGCATATAGTTAGGAGTGTGCACAGCTGCTCGGCCAAGGAAACCCATTTAAGGAAGCTCCCGACGCACAGTTATTGTGCTGATATTCGTTCCAGAGGATGCTCGGAACTTGGTAGTGAGTGATGCAATGGAGGATAGGTGATTTTTATGTGCTTCAGCACTCAGCAGTCTCGCTGTGTGAGTTTGTTTGGTCTACCACTGCATGGCTGAGTTGTCATTCACCAGGGCAGAAACAGACTTGTGGCAAAGACATTCTATGACAGTGTCACGTTTAAAGTTACTGTGCTCATCATTGCTTGTCTATGGAGATTGAACGGCTATGGCTAAAACATTTGAACACAATAATTAGGAGGGCTGTCCACATACTTGTAGCCATATTGTGTATTTTAAAATGGTGATCTGTTGCAGTCTGTCATAAATTAGATAAAATCTAGCACAAATATTTGATTCGTTGGCCCTATGCGCACCCTTAAAAGGGTCAACGCATAAAACATTGATGGTATGATAATGAGTGTGTCATCCTGTTCATGAATCTGAAATATTTTCAGTGGTTGTTCCACCACTGAATTAATTCACAGCTGATTAGAGTGATACTATGCTTACTCTCTGTCCTCTCACAGTATTACAAAACAGAGACTGTGGAACAGGGCCAATATCAGAAAGCATGTGTGTGGAAAAGTACAGTACAAATCAAGCACAGTCAGGGCCACAACATTAGTCTGAAAATCAACTGTTTAGTACTCTTAGCAAAAAGAGGTTCTATAAAGTACTAAAAGGTTCTGATTTGTAACAGTAGTAGAATCCTTTTTGGTGCTATATGGAGCTAAGTACCATTCTAACAAATAAAAATCCTTATGCTTTGAGTGACCCTATACCTTAATTATGTTTATTTTATTAAAAAAATGATTGAACATTCAAAATTTTCACTGCTAAAACAATCATAACGCTGCAGAAGTGACTATCGTTTTTTTTGTTTGTTTTTTTTTTACATATTGCAAAAATGCTAGCCAGTACATGACTGGCGAATACAGAGAAAATCATTATAATTTTCATTAAAACACAAAAAAGTTTGCTTATGTTGGTCGTTAATAATAATAATAATAGTTATAATAATAAGTTTTGTTTATATAGCACATTTTTAATGCCGGTGGCAGCTCAAAGTGCTTTACAAACAGGTGATAAAAACCAGTTATACAAGAAAGTATAAGTATTAATTCCGAATCATAAGAAAATGACAGATGAAATTAAAAAGATAAATACCACAAGTTTTAATCAAATGGTAGGTTAAAGGGATAAGTTT